CCAAGCTTGCTATTTCACTTTCAACTCTTTCAATGTTTTCTTCATTTCCAGAAGTCCTATATGGTTCTGTTTGAGGGTTTCAATCTCCTTGCTAATAAACTCATTCTGCTAATCTAGTTGTTTTTTAAATTATTGGAATTGTTGATATGAATTATTTTGGATCTCACTGAGTTTTTTCCGAAGTACCATCCTGAATTCTCTTTCATTTAAGTTGTATATTTCTATGTCCTTGAACTTATTTTCTGGAGATTTTTCTCTTTATTTCTGAACTACCCTGTCACCATGATTGTTCATGGTGTTTATGGACTTTTTCTCCTCCTGGGCATTAATGGAAGTGTATTCTGCTTTTTTTCCAGAAAGAAGATCTGTTATATAAAGGTCTCTCTTCAGCCTACTGCTAACAAGGTGTTTTTCTTTTTGTTTCTAGTAGGTGACATCTTAGCCTCTTGGATCCCTGCTTTGTATAAAGATTTAATAATGCCTTTTTTTTTCTTATAAACATTCAATGACATTTGCTACCTTCAGATTCAGTTCCTGTCAGTGTTAGCGATAGTTTCGGTAGCATTTGCTCAGATTCCCCTGGGACTCCACAGTGTTAGGTTTTGGAGGATATGGGGAGAAGTGCCCTCTGGGTTAGAGAATGGGAGCTGTGGCACATCCTGGCATTTTTGCAACCCCATGCTGGTAATAATCAGCTGTTGCTTCTCTGCTTTCTGCCCTGATCCATGGGCAGTGCTGCTGTGTGGAGTTCACAGCTCTCTCAGGCAGGGCTGTTCAGGGGACCCACCACCCCTTTCCACACCTTCTCTCCTCCTCCTCCTCCTCCTGCAGGGAGCGCAGGTTGCCAGAGGCTGCTTCTTTGTTTCTCCCTGTCTACCACCCAACTCTCACAGTTCTGACATGTGGTATTCAAACATGCATATGTGAAGGTCAGGTGTTTCTTGTTGAAATTTAGATGTTCAGCTTGTTGTTATTTCAAGAAGAGCGATCTGGAGACATTTCTTACTCCATCATGCTCTTGACGTCACTCCCAGATGGTTTTGTCAGTTATTTTTTTAAAGTGATGAGCAAATGTTATTGTATTTTATGTTTAAAATAGTCTTTCCCAAGAGTAAAGGTGATATTTACCTCGAGTTTTTTTATACAGAAAGATGTTAAAAATGAAAGCTTTCATCTTATATGAGATATTTAATATACTTTTTATAATTAGGTTACTTTATTATGTTAGCAGTTACCAACTTTTATAAATTATATACTTTATTTAATTTTTTTGAACTTAGGATAAGTTAGAATAGAATATTGCTGTTTTATTTACAGCTGCTTTATTTTATGAAGTATTTTAATCCTTAGCTTTAAAAAAATTTATTGACTTGTTTTACTTATGTCTCTGATAAAATTTCATTGTTTTCTTCTCTCGGAAAATATAAAAGTTTTTAAAAGCAGAGGTTGAAAATTTTTGCAGGAACTGCCTGCATCATGGCTTTTTTACCCAGAAATGGCCTGTCATACTGCCAGAAATTCCATTAGATCTGTTTAATTTAATGTGCAACTCAAGAAGTGCATATGTTGACATTTATAAATGGATATGGTTTTACCACATTAAGGAGGTCATCTCTTATTCCTAGACTGAATCAGCTGCACAAGTGAATGCATGCTTCTATCATTTTGAGTGTAGAATTGTTTAGAGGAGGTCAGAGATCGGGAGTATGAGGATGGAGCTGGGGGCAACGAATCAGCACTGGAGCCCCTTAGACATCATGAGGGCAGCTCTCGAGTTGCTGGCACTCCCCCAACCCTCTGTTTCCCACTGGCAGAAGCTATGAGGAAGCCTATGGACAAGGAGTGTCTGAATAATATCTGTAGGCTCTCAGCCTTGATGTGACAGAGTGTAGAAGGGAGAATGTGAGGCTGAGAAACAATGGATATATAACTGTCACTCCTAGGATCAGAGAAATATTTTTAAAAATATACTGACTTTTGTATCTTGCTCTTTCACCACATTTTTGTGATATATGTGACAAATTATTCAACAATTCTAATATTGATTTGTATTCCTTTTTCCTTAAAGAACATTTCTATATTTTTATCTATGAAATTTGTTATTTTGGGAAATTTTTTTCTGAGAACATGAATGATTTTCCATCATCAAAGATATTTTGTGTCCTTCATTTCCTTTTTTATTTTTCTAGTACAAGCAAGTAGAGGTAAATACCAGTAGCTGAGATGAGAAACTTTCTAAACCTTAAAAATAATGTTGTTAGAGGAAAAGTTGGAAATAATTTCTATGAATGCATTTTCATTTTTTTTTAAAAGCTTGTAGAGATGAACTGTTTTGTTACCACCTGTCTAAAGTTAGGAGACAGTTGCTCCATTAAGATATTATCCTGCCTCCCTTTTTTTTGTAATTCACAGGACCTTAGTTGCATAGAATTAATCATAACTCTTTATTCATGATATGTAGATACCATTATGTTTTATCCTACTTATTTTATTTTAAAAATTATTCCTGTAACATTTTTAATGATGTGTTGACTACCTGTGAACCCATACGTAACCCAAGAAGTAGAACATTGACAACAATTTACAGATCTATATCCTCTGCCTATCTCACCCTTCTTCCTCCACAAAGGTAACCACAATTCTGAATTTTGTATTTATCATTTACTTCATTATTTTCTAGTTTTATCTCATTGTTAAATATATAAACACATACATAAATCTGAATGACATTTAATCTTGGTTATTTTTGAACTTTATAAAAGGGATATTATGTATAATGCTTATGTTGTCTTCTGGGGCATACTTTTTTCCTATTGTGCAATTTAACACAACTTATTTTTCTGTTCTGTGGTGGACATTTAAGTCGTTTCGAATTTTTTCATTGTTTACCAATGCTTCTATAAACATTCTTGTACATGTGTTTTGGTGTTTGTGTGCTTCATTTTCTTTTGTAGTTGAACATTGCTGGATCATAGGTATGCAAATATTGAGTTTAACCAGATTTTGCTAAGTTTTTTTCAAAGTGATTATACTAATTGAGATTCCCACCAGCAATGTATGAGAGATCCTGTAATGTAGGTTCTATCTAAAATTTGAGTTTAGAGAACACTTCTTTGTCAGATGTATTTAGTGCATTTGAATTCAGTTGCAATATTATTCTTTGTACCACAGCTCTAAGTTGTTTTTTTTTTTCTTTTTATCTTTTTCGGCATTGATTGTTATGTTATGGTAATATTTTCTTCTATTAAAACTTTTCTACTCTATTACTGTCATTTTTTGTGATTACCATGGCATTACATGTAAACTTATTAAAGTCTAATATTAATTAGTGTAACTTCATCCAGGATAAATTAGCATAAATGAATTTAAACATTTTGAAATTTAAAATATAAAATTTAAAACTTATATTTACCTAATTTATGCTTCCATTGTTAAGTATTTTAATATTGTACAATTGAAAGTAAAACCTACAAGGCACATTATTTTTGTTTTGTAGCATCACCGTTCATTTATATTTACCGTTTTCTTTGCTCTTTATTATATTTTGACTCTCAGATCTTATATCTGGATAATCTTTCTTCCTCCAAAAATATCTTTTCTATTTTATTAATTGGAATTTGTAAGTTAGTAAACTTGTTTTGCTAGTTCAAAAAATGTATATATTTGCATTTGTCCTCAACGGACATTTTAACTGAATATAGAATTTTACCTTGGCATTTTGTTTGGTTTCCTCATTAGATAGATTATAAGATAGTATGCTCCTTGTTTGAGTTCCACCATTACTGTTACAGGACCATCTGTTAGTCTAACTGTTCTTCCTTTGAAGGCAATCTGTATTCTTCTGGCTGCTTTTTAAGAATTTTTCTTTGATTTTTCTGCAGTTTTAATTTGATTGCGAGTGTGGATTTCTTTTTATACTGCTTAGAATTTGTTAGGCTACTTCTAATTTTTGCACTGAAGTATAACATTGGTTCTAGTACATTCTCAGCCATTGGCTCCTAAAATATTGTCTCTTTCTCATTCTCATTATAGGACAAGTTTAATTGACCTTGCGTCAGACTTCATTAATTGGATCCTCTTTGTCTCTTACCTTCCTCTTTCATATATATTTTACCGTTCATCTTTCTGTGCTACATTCTGGATAACATCTTTTGACCTTCTTTTGAGTTCAGTAATTCTCTGTTCAGCTGTGTCTAATCTCCTTAAACATATTCATTGAGTTCATAATTTAATACATTTTTTCTATTCTAGGATTTTTTTAATCTGTGTTACTTTTTACAATTTCTAGTTTTTACAAAAGTTTTAAAAAACTTTTTACAAAAGTTTAAAGCTTATTTTCTATATTTTGATACATAGTGATTATATTTATTTTAAAGCCTATGTTGAGTAATTCCAAAATGTGAAGTCTTTGAGAGACTCTTTCTGTTTGTGTTTTTATTTATTGCTATTTTTCGCTCACGATGTCTTATTTCCTTTTGTATCTGATTACCTTTGATTATGTGCTGGTCATTATATTCGAAAAAAATATGTGTATGGTTGATTTGAAGCCTAGGTGATGGCCTTTTCAGCAGTGATTTTAGATTTCTTTTTTTCTTTTTTCTTTCTTTTAAGCATATGGAGGAGGTGCTACCAGTCTGGAATCACAGTAATCCAAATTTAAGACTTGACCTTTCCTGGGCTACCTAGGTGACATAAAACTGGGTTGCAGGTCCCTACCTGGGTTTGCTTTTGGTACCTGCCTAAACTATTTTTGCTGCAAATACTTTTGTAGCAAAAGCAACTGAGTGCCAGGAGTATCTTTTTAGGTTCTTGCCTTATTTAGATTTCTGTGTCACTATCTTTTCATACTTTTAGGGTATTTTTCATATTCCATTGATACTTAAGATTTTTTCATAGCATGATTCCATCTTATTTACCTAGCCTGTCACTAAACAGAGACAGAAATCTTTCCCTTCAATTTGCTTTTGAATTTGCCTTGATGTTTGTTTGCTTTTTTGTAGGTTCTACATGAAACGTTTCCTCAACACACATTCCTCATGAATGGTCTCATTCAAGGTGTAAAGGTAAGAACAGTTTTTATATGGTTCATTGTGAACAAAACCAGGAATCCTTAGTCGTTTAACTCTGGAAGTTTAAATGGGATTTAGGAAAAACGATTACTATTTGTTCTGGAGATCTAACTCAATTTTTAGCTGGATTTCAGAGTCAAAATAAAATATAACCCACATCCATAAGGCATAAAATGATTTACTGGGGAAAGCAGTATTTTGTTTTTACTAATATGTAGATAGCAATTTCTAAAGGATTTAGTTTTTTGAACTTTTAGTTGCTCTACCTATCAACAGAATAAAATGGACAAATGTACTGTCTTCTTTTGAACTATACTTTGAGATTGAAGAAGGAAACATCAAGATTTAGTTGGGTATGTAGTCTTTTGGCAAGGCTGGTATTTTAGTCACAAGTTTCTGAGTTCTCAACCCCTTAATTTATTGTTTAAATTTCAATGTGATATTTATCAGAAAAGCTTATAAATATATATTTTTAATTTAAATATATTAAAATACAATGTTATGTCCCATCCCACATTAAGTATACTGATATAGTGTCTAATATGTCCTTTCCAGCTTAGATAATATCAATCTCTACATAATTTTACTTTGTGCTAAACAGCACATTTAAAATTAAAATTATGTCCTAATAATTTGCCGAATTGGATTCACAGTTTTGAGCAGCATAATTGTCATGAATACCATTTATTCTTTGCCTGTTGTCAAAAAGAATTTGATAATATTTACAACAACATAAATAAAACAAGGCAATTTAAATAAAGACTGAAACAAGAATTTTTTAATAGTCACTGAAAGCAAGAGGAATATTATCAAGAATCTGGTGTGTGGTTGTTTAAGCACCAGTTTATGAGCAGTATTGATAAAAATGAAAACTAAAGGCAGAAGAGTGAGCACTGATAAAAAATATATGTTTATCCTTACAATAGATTCTTGAGGAAGTTACTCAGTTCTTTTGTCTTGTGGCTAGCTAATAAAATGTTTTAGTCTGGTTCTGCAAAATAAAACCAACTAGGTCTATATTCTAAAGCTGAGCAGCATGCTACACTTTACACTTTCACTAAGAGACAGTCACAATGGTATTCTTTAAAAAAAAGAAAAAAGAAAAGGTTTTGGTTTTATTCAAGGGCTTGGACAAAGACTTATTCAGCTTCAATGACTCTTGAACTTCAACTTATTGAACTTTAATAAGGACTTATGTACTTTATTAATTGGTTATTGTATATTGATAGAACCCTACAGCAAAGCCTAGCTCTATTAAGATATCTTAATATGCATGCGAGCACAGTAGAATGAATATGGCTTTAAATTGCTTTAGCTTTAAATCTCTGCTCTATACCTTATTAACTATGTTACCTTAGTCTTATAATTTAACCTCCCTAACCTCAGTTTTATTATTCATGAAATGAGGAAGACAAAAGATCTTTCCAGTAGGGTGGTGAGTATAAGGATTAAATTAGCTAGTATATGTATAGCTATTAGCAAAGTACTTGCATGTGCTAAATACTCAATAAGTGTTGCAAAGAAAAGTATGTAAAAACCAAAAACTGTTAGAAGGAAATCTTGAAAACCATTTTTCATACTAGTTGGGGGAAAGATTTTCTTTTTTTAGAACGAGAATTCATAAAGGAAAAGGTTGAGTCATTTACATATTTTAACTTTGGTAAGTCAAAACCATCATCAGAATTAAAAGACAAATAACAAAACATTTTTCAACATACATAAAAGAAGAAAGAATACATAAAAACATTCTTAGAATAAAACTATTGGAAAGTGCCTGGATCCCAGAAGGGCAAAGAAGGACGTAAACTGGCAATCTACAGATGTCAGTGTAAAAATAAATTTATCACTCGTAAGTAATGAATAACAAGTTAAATGAGATAATATTTTTACGTACAAATTGGTTAAAAAGTTTAAACTGACCAGGACCAGTTCAGTGTGTGTAAATTGGGCCCCCTCCATGCAGTGTTGATGAGAGGATAAATTGTTAATAGCTTTAACAAAAGGCAGTATTTTAAGATCCTTAAAAATATTCACATATTTTAACAAAGTAATTCCATTTCTAGAAAATTGTTCTAATCAAGTATAGTTATTTAGAGATTCAGGTAATAGGCTATTTGTAAATAGACACATGGAAATAATTAAAATACCTTAAAATTGAAAGAATAAATAAGTTGTGGTACAGCCATACGATGTAAAACAGACATATAAAGAACACAGTTTTGAAGAATACCATATAAAAGGATGTAAAACTATATAGTACAATTTCAGTTTTATGTGGCCCAAAATACATGTATATTAGCAGAGAGAAAAAGTTGAAAAGGAATCACCTGAAGTTTGAAAATGTGTGGTTTTATGAATGACTTTTAGTTTTCTTTTTTCATCTTTTGTTCATCTTTGTAGATTTTCTACAGTTAACTCTTACTTTGTAAGTTTACTATTCCAATGCATGGAAGAGAAGGTTTAGATTTGAGGTGAGCATCAGTAAAGGATACAAGAGTAGAACAGTTCTGCAAATTCTTCTGTTTTAGTTTGGAGTGTTTTGTTTTTCAGTAGCTTTATTGCTATAATTCACATACTATCCAAGTCATCCAGCTTTGATTCATCAGTACACAATCAACTTTAGAGCATTTCATCACCCTCAAAAGAAATCCTGTACCCATTCGCAGTCACTCCTTGTTTCCCCCCAATCTCTTTAGCCTTAGATAGCACAAATTTACTTCTCTATTATTTGCCTCTTCTGGACATTTTATACAAATGGAATCCTACAGTGTAATGTCTTTTAGGACTGGCTTCTTTCACTTAGCACAGTATTTTCAAGGTTTACCTGCATTGTAGCACATATTAGTACTTCATTCTTTTTATGGCAAAATACTATTCCATTGTATATCACAGTTTATCTATTCATTAGTTGATGGATATTCGGGTTGTTTCCAATTTTTGGCTACTGTGAATAATGCTGCTGTGAACATTTGTATACAAGTTTTCATGTGGACATGTTTTCACTTCATCCTTCATAAATACCTAGGAGTGCAACTGCTAGGTCATATGGTAACTTTGTTTTTCTTAATTATGTTTTCAAATTGACTTATTTCTTAACCTTATTTCTGACAAGTAATATGTGTTCCTTATCTCCTAGGCTTCTGCAAAATGGGTGGCTCAAGCCTTGGACAACAATTTCTTTTATCTCTACACTCCCTTGACGATATTGTGAGAATTATTACTTTCAGCTCTCTAATATATATCTTCCTAGACCTTGGCCCAGAACTCCATACTTATATATCCAGTTGCCTAATTGACATCTCTTTCTATGACTGAATAGCATCTCAAAGTTAACATCTCCAAAACTAAACTCTGGTTCTTCCCCTCCAGCCTTACCAACTCAGAAGTCTTCCTCATTTCAATTACTGGTCATGCCATCTTGCTCAGATCAAATCCCTGGGGTCAGTCTTGACTCCTTTCTCTCTCATATCCCAAACCAAATCCATCAGCAAATTCTGTGGTTCTACCTTCAAACTAGATCTATAATCAAAACACTACCTAGTCCCCTTTCAGGAGAGCTCTTGATAAAATATAAGCCAGCTTGTGGCTTTCTTCTTAACCAATCCTGCTTTATTTTCTGGCAGCATTCATATTCTCTCCTCCACTCCCTGCTCACTTCACTTCAGTTACAACTTCATCAACCTCTGCTTGTCGAGGGCTTTGCAGGTACTGCTTTTCTACTTAGATTTCTTTCTGCCAGTTATTGACAGGCCTCACTCCCTAACTCTCAGTGTTTAGCCCAGATGTCATTTTTTTGTGAGGCCTTATTGACTGGTGTCTTGAATAATGTATCCTGTTCTCATCACTCCCATTTCCCCTTCTCTGCTTTGTTCTTCTCCAAAACATTATCATCTCACTTCTGACATGCCGTATATTTTGCTTTATCTTTATCGTGTTTTTATGTGTCCTCCTCGCCCCTCTTCTTTTAGACTGGCACTTTCTTGAAGGTGTTGAATTTATTTGCCTTGCTCACTACTATCCCCAGCACTTATAATAGTTTTGACACTTGATAGGTGCTCACTAAATCTTGTCAAATTCACATTTCTTTCCAGTCTTTTTTGTGCGTTTTTAAAAATATTTTTTATTTTTCAATTATAGTTGGCATATAATATTAGTTTCAGGTGTACAACATAGTGGTTACACATTTATACAACTTACAAATTGATCACCCCAATAAATCTAGTACCCATCTGACACTGTACATAGTAACAATATTATTAACTATATTCCTTATGCTATACTTTACATTCCCATGACTATTGTGTGCTACCAATTTGTACTTCTTAATACCTTCCTCTTTTTCAGCCATCCCCCAGCCCTGCCCCATCTGGCAACCCTTAAAATTGTCTCTGTATGAGTTTGTTTCTGTTTTATTTATTTTATTTCTTAGATTCCACATGTAAGCGAAATCATATGGCATTTGTCTTTGTCTGATTTACATCACTCAGCACCGTACCCTCCGTTTTGTTGAAGATGGCAAGATTTCATTCTTTTATTTATTATTTATTTTTATGGCTGAGTAATATTCCATTGTATATCTTGGCAATTATAAGTAATGCTGCAATGAACATATGGATGCACATGTCCCTTCAAAGTAGTATTTTGAGTTTCTTCAGATAAATAGTAAGAAGTGGGAGTACTGGGTCCTTCTTTGTCCCTTGTTATAACCTTTGTTTTAAAGTCATTTATGTCTACTATAAGTATTGCAACCCCAGATTTTTTTTCATTTCCATTTTCATGAAATATCTTTTTCCATCCCTTTAGTTTCGGTCTGGTGTCTTTTGATATGAACTGAGTCTCTTGTAGGCTGCGTATGTACAGATTTTCCTTTCTTATCTATTCAGCCACCCTATCTTTTGATTAGAGCATTTAATTCTTTTTCATTTGAAGTACTTGTTGTTAGATCTGTAGTTATTGCCATTCTTTATTTATATTTTTGGTACATATTGTTTCCT